CAAGGGTAAAACATGATATTCGTAATTGTACTCATGCAGTCATACTTGTATATTACTTCAAAGATGATTTTAAGCAGGTGAACTTGAAATACCATTTACGTTTGACTATTTAAATATGCTTAGGCTAAACGGTTACGAAAGCTCCCCTTTATTGTTCCTGAATTTTATAATTGCAAGTCTAGATTTAAAATGAAACTTTAATTAGATAAAAGTTGCAATCTTGTAATGGGCTCCATGTTAGATACAGCCGACAGCATGATTACTTAAGGTGGCATTATATAACGATTTTTCCCTAGAAGAATGAGTTACTTGTTTGAGTGATATTTTTAATACCTCTAACACAATAAACTAGTCTTAATTTGCAAAGCGTGAAATAGGCATCGTCGAGGGTCACTGTGGATGATTTGGTGTCATTTCAAGATACCATACTACTTGATTGCTGCACTTGAGTGCAGACAAGTATGACTGTGTTCGAAAAAATTAGGGGGATACATAGCCAGCAAAGCAGTAAAAAGTGGCGGAATTAAGCTTATCACAATTGTGTAATTAGCTTGTAGACGTTGCAAAATCTTGCAGCCCTTTTATACTAACAAATTGAGATTGACTATTAACATAGGATGAATTGTACTGAAGTGATGTTTCTAGCTGTAGAGAGTATCTTTCCAAGAAATTTGAATTCGGCTTATAGAAACATTATGGAAAAAGTAGTTATACTTTATTCGATGATGCTATTTTCTTCATTAATAAAATGAGACCTACCTTCAGTGTGTAGGCTTTGCAATGTGTTAATCGCCAATTGCACTGTATTTCAAGGGAACAATTTCAATCCTAATAGAGCTCGTTCTTAATCCATTCTTCATTGGCTATTGAAGCGTGGGTAAATGAACTTTAGCAATGCTGATTATTCCAATCGACTAGTTTTAACGTAATGTAAAAACTACATAACACGATCGTATCATTATTATAGTGATTTTGTAAAATACGAACTAAAACTAAAGGTCAGTAAGAGTATATTTAGTTGCAGTGACGAGTTAACAAAACATAATATTACAGATCTACAAAAAAAAAGCGCCTGCAGTTCAAGTATGCATATTTTATAACTTAAAATACCCTAAAATATAGTTCATTTAGCTCTGAAATTCTTACGATACGATTACGTGTGTTGTGTTAGTAACTAATTATTAAAGTAAGATGGCGAGGAGATAAAATACACTTGGCAAATTCATACTCCTTATCCACTAGGCAGTAGTTTAATTCTTATTTGGTTACCCCAAAAATCTTGGCTTAGGATTGTTAGGGAGGCCAACACATCTTCTGCCACAACCGAGATTGCAACACGAAAATGAACGGGATTCTTTCCTCTAAAGTAGTCTTAACTATCTAAGCGACTAACTCTAAACACTCTTTAATCTACCAAACTTAGATTCGAGTCTTAGAAGATAGAATACTCACGCTAAGAATCAAAACTTTATTCTAAAAGCTATTTACTAAAATATCCGATTGAACTCATAACTTGCAATCTACTGCTAATCACTAATAATCATCTGTTATCAACTAACTTATCGACTTCCTCAATTAAAACTAAACTTTATTGTATTATCCATATGTGATATTTTGTAAGTTAAACTAAATATTTATTGTACTATCAAGAAAGGGAAAATTGCATGATCTTATAAGCAAATCTAAAACTTCAGGTATTCTTGCATAATCTTATAATCGTAACCTTAAGCTACTTTACGAGTTACACTACGTTATCTTAATTAATTGGAGATCGAATTGATTTTCGATTCCTTCGTTGGTTTAACAAAATTACACAATTTATTTGATGATTTCTGAAATTCATCTTTCTTTTTCTTGAGTAAGAACTTTGATGTATAATAATGAATTAAAATGAAGAGAAATCTTTATAAAAGTTTGCGCGCAAGTCCTTCGTTGGATTACTATTTTCAATGATGGTAGTTATTATTTTCTTGCTATCAAAGTGGTGCATTTGATTTTCTTGAAATAATTTTCTGATGTTACTCAATTCTTACTTGAAAACGGTATAAAAACTTGTGTAAAATAATATTGAGATGATTAAAGACCAGAATTTTCATATATACTTTAACATTATAGCCTACTCTTGATTTAAGTTTGAATTTGGAATTAAACCATTGCTACATAAATCTGAATAATATCTTGTTATTACGAAATTTATGAATCTGGGATCAATTTGTAAACAAATTGATGAATACGAGTATTTACAATGCTAACACAAACACTAACTTTAGTTTATAATTTCTGGAAATGAAATCTATCTAGCTAGTTTATTAATATTCTAATTCTTCATTATATCTCGAATTCATACCTCATAACACTTTAAAGTGTCTCCTCTGCATGTTATTAACTGTAAGAAATATTGCAACAATTTATTTATGGATTAAAATTTTAAGTTTCTTTCACTTTGTATCATTTTGAAACTTATAGTTGAAGTAACGAGTATTCTGATAACATGACAACGTATTTACTGTAACTTTTGCTCCGCTGAGGTAGTTACTTGTCGCTATGATTGACAGCAGATGCGTTAGTAAAATTAAAATGTTCCTTTATACTAAGAAACCGTAATCTTACGTCGATGACGAACGTAAGCAGCTCAGAGAAATTTTAAAAATTAAACTGAGATTGTCTAAATTGTGTCATACGCCTACGGCGATTTACTCCTAGAGGATTAATATAGTATAGTATAAGAAACGTTTGTAAGTAATACTAATTAAAAGTAACGGTATTATTGTAGAATATAATCACTAGTTGGAATGGATTGATATCAGGCTAAAGTATCTATACATCTAAATATATGACACAAACATACCTGCTGGTGCAGTATAATAAATCCTTATAAAAATTAAATGTGAACTTAAATCCATATTCCACGAATGTATCGAAATATTGAACATTTCTTAATATAAGAGTATAAATCAGGCCTGTATTACTGATACGAATATTTCAATAAAAATCTTCAATTTTATTCATTGCTAACTGTTTATCGGCTTTCGATATAACTGCTAGAATACTTAATGTAACACTACTAGTTTTTTTTATATCCATCTAATTACAGGAGCTTGTGGAATGGCGGACTATCTACTGTAGATAATATTTGATAATGAATGAGGTGATCGAAAGCATAATATCAACTAAATGATCAGAGAAATGCGTTAAATGCAATTGTAGATGATAATTGTTATCTTTATCCTAAATGTGTTGAAAATCTAGTTCTCTGGTTTTTGCATCAATTCATTATGATTTCGATGAACTAATTCGACAGGAAGACTATTATTAATTAACATCGTAAATTTACAGTAATGAACAGATCTACGCGTATCGAATATTGCAGTTACGGCGGTTAGCATACGTGTATATGCATATTACTAGCTGTCAGATTTTAGGGTGATATTGGAATACGATGAGATTACAATATACGTAATAAAGGAAAAATCATATACTTTACGAATGAATGTTTGATATTATGTGAAT